TAGTATTGTTTTTATTTAGAGTTACATATGTTGGGGGCACAACACCACAATATTTTCAGTGCTTAGGGCGTCTAAAGGTCTTAAGATGGCTTTAGGCTAAACAACTACCAATGGACCAGCCTATCATATTTGTGCCTATCAGCTGCAGTCTTCTAATACAGAATGTGTGGAACTGTTTCAGAGACAGCACTATATGAGCACATATAGTGAGCTGCTGTTTCTTGAATCTCTTAATCCACCCTACCCCTCTCAAGCTTAATCAGAGAATCATAGAGAAGCTTATTTACTGAACACTGTTTAAAGTGCCCTGTAAATAGAGAAGTAAGAGCACAACTCATGTTTCAGAATCCTAAATAAAAGCAAACATTTTAGAAAATTGAATTGTAAATGTGTGTGGCTGACAGCCTAATATAGAATTTACCCAGGTGATCAATGCATTCTGCATTGTGCTTGTGTAACACACGCTCAATACACACAGCATTGATGAGGAACAGCTTTCCTGACTGCATCGGGATTTTAAAAAGGAAGTGTGAATGAGGGTAGCTAAAAGTTGGTGTATAAAGAAGGAAGTAACTGAGAAATCAAACAACAGAAACCAAGAGGTTTGTGGGTGTGAGCTCTTCCTTTCTCTTGCTCTTCCTTATCCCACTTTCTCCTTTAGTTAGACTAAGGTATTTGAAGCTGAACACTATTACAATAAATTGGCCCAAAGTACTGAAATATCATCCCCACCAACTAGGCACCAGCCCAACGTGTTGCGCAAAACATAGACAATTATTTTCTGCTTCAGTCAGCTTTTCTTCCATGACCTCACCTTTTAAAATCCTGACTCCACCCTTGAAAAAAAGAGCACTTCTCATTCTATAACTGTGTTCCTGCCTGTTACTATTTAATTGGCTGGAAGTACAAAACTGTTTGCAGATCCCAGCTCTTGCTCTTAGGCATTTTCTCTCTCTTTTCATTCTCTTCTGCATGAACCACATTTGTACAGGACACACATACACAAAATGAGAGGTGGTTCAAATGTGCTTCGAACTGCCACGTATGAAAGTAGCTTTGGAGACTTTGGTCCTAGAGTTCTGTAAGGAGCTCAGAATCCAGGGCCAGCCCACCCATGAGGCTGGGTGAGGCAGTCGCCTCAGGCGGCAGGCTGGGGACAGCTGGGAGAGGTGGCAGATCTGGGGTCCCCAGGACAACACCACTCCCTGCCTCCTGAACTTGTCTCTCCCTGCTGCAGCCGTTGTGAAAACAGGATGCTGGACTAAATGAGCCATTGGCCTGATGCAGCAGGCTCTTCTTATGTTCTTAAGTAAATTATTCAGACCAGAACGAATGCTTAAGTATATTTTTGCAATTAGATTATTTTCACTCTACTTGTCATTTTACCTACCACTAAAGCATGGCATAAATGGACGCAGGTGGCGCTGTGGGTTAAACCACAGAGCCTAGGACTTGCTGATCAGAAGGTCAGCGGTTCGAATCCCTGCGACGGGGTGAGCTCCTGTTTCTTGGTCCCTGCTCCTGCCAACCTAGCAGTTCGAAAGCACATCAAAGTGCAAGTAGATAAATAGGTACCGCTCTGGCGGGAAGGTAAACGGCGTTTCCGTGCGCTGCTCTCGTTCGCCAAAGTGGCTTAGTCATGCTGGCCACATGACCCGGAAGCTGTACGCCGGCTCCCTCGGCCAATAAAGCGAGATGAGTGCTGCAACCCCAGAGTTGGTCATGACTAGACCTAATGGTCAGGGGTCCCTTTACCTTTAAAGCATGGCATGTCTTTATTAGCCAAGCCGGTTCCGTTTTAGTCAGGGGCAACTTAACAATTGGTGGCGCTGGCTGCCCATGTGCATCCCTGTTTGTGTCAAACGATATAGTCAGACATCGGCTTGGATGAGCATCGCAGTGCAAAACGGATGCTCATGGAGAAGGATGTCTGCCTTCACAGCACACGTTGGAGGCTAATGACGCACGCAGATTTCTCTGGGTCACTAGGTGTCTACTGCCAAGAGGACAAAAAAAGGCTGAGATGGTTTCAATGGTGTTTGCTCCTGAAGCATGTTTCTTGGAAATGTGAAGAAGATGCAAGTGGAATTGCCTGCTCAAAAAAATAAAAAACATCAAGTGTGTTCCTGTTTTTTAAAAATATGTAGAGCAGGCTTCTTTTAAAAGTGTGTCAGTAGAATCAGTCTCCAGCTATTTTTAACAGCCTCTGAAAGCTTATCAGGCAGATACTGTACAGTTAATCCATTAAAGGATTTCCAGGTATTCATAGCTTAATAAGTGAGCATGATGGAATTTAACCAATAGAAGATTGCTTTTACTTTGTGTACACCATAGCAAAAATCTTCATATTTTAATAACTTCTGACAATCAGGTTCATGTCATGGGTGACAACTTAATATTAAAGTGATATGATTAAATAGGTTTACTATACTTAAGATGTATTTTTAACTGAAAACATTGTCTTCATTACTAAAATACGTTTTCTTCCCTCCCCCCACCAACTACTTTCCATTCTCCCAAGATGCTAAATGGGGTCTAACTAACAGGAGGAAAAGAAGATTGTAAATCATTGAATGGATTATTTGCATCTGTTTTCATTCACTATGGAAGAGGTAGGGCAGATACCTTTTCCTGAACAAACTCCCTCAGAAAGGGAACCTGACGAATGGAAGCAGACAGTGGTGATAAGAAGTCTTTAATGTTTGATGTTTTATCATGTTTTCTATATTCTATTGGGAGCCGCCCAGAGTGGCTGGGGAAACCCATTCTAGGTCTCACTGACAAATTTAAAACTAACAGATTGCTGGGTCCTGATGGCACCCCCCCCAAGGGTTGTTAAAGAACTGAGTTGTAAAATTGCTGGACTTCTAACAAACTATGTAACTTATCCCTAAGATCAGCCTCCATACCTGAGGACTGGAGAGCCCAGAAGGTAATGTAGCCGTTGGTCTGAAAAAGGTACCCAAACCCAGCTCTACAAAGCCACCTTTTCCAAGCCACCTGTGCTGTGTTGTTCAGCTATGACTTTAACAGTTTAAAGCCTTGAACAATTTCTCCTGGTTAACTAAATCATCATGGGTTCAGATGGAGTGGAGTTGGACGATAAGTAGATTTGAACAAAACCAAACGAATATGATTTTGTTATTATGACATTTCTATACTGCCCTTCATCCTTCATCCAAGGATTAGAGGGTGGTTTACAACATAAAAACACATACCATAATAACAAACAAAAACAATAACCCCCCCGTCACACACAGTTTAAAAGGCCATACGTTTAATCAGCCAAAGGCCTGGGGGAAGAGGAATGTTTTCGCCTAGCACCTAAAGATATGCAACGAAGGCACCAGGTGAGTCTCCCAAACACGAAGCCACTGCAGAAAAGGCCCATTCTTGTGTTCCCACCCTCTGAACCTATCGTCTCAGATGATGATTGCTGGGTCCATATTGGTTCATATGGGGAGAGGTAGTCCTTGAGGTATTGCGGTCCTGAGGTGTTTAACGCTTTATAGGTCAAAACCAGCACTTTGAATTGGGCTCAGAAACTAATTGGCAGCCAGTGCAGTTGGCTCAAAAAACCGCCTTGCCTCTGGTGAACAATCTGGCTGCTGAGCTCTGCACTACCTGAAGTTTCCAAACTGTCATCAAGGACAGCTCCACATATACTGTTCTGCAGTAATCTAGTGTAGAGGTTGCCAGAGCATAGATGACAGAAGTTAGCTGAAGCTGGTGGAAGGCACTCTGCGCCACTGAGGCCAGCTGATCCTCAAGCGACGGCAATGGATCACTGCAGGCCCAGTTCCCTGCACGTAGGAAACGTTTGCAGTTGAATCCTTTGTGATGTGATAGTGAGTTCTGATTAGTAGTCCCATTTCACGTGGAGATATTCTTTCCTTGTTGCATATGCAGCAGCAAAATATATTGATGAGCCTCAACACTGTGGAGATCATGCTTAGGGAGAGGATAAAGGAACAACTATTTCAGGGCTCCAGATCCTAAGCTGGATGCCATTTTTATGTTATTCTTAAACTCGTGATACAGTAATTGCTGTTTTATATAACAGTCATGCCACTTAGCACGACAGCCCTAAAACGTTATAAAAGTAGTGTTGTTGAGAGAGGAGAAGCCTTGTTTATTTTTAGCCTAAGGATAAAATACCACCATTTGGTAAAATTTATGAATGTTTTGATGACATATGTGCAATGCAACAAGGAATTAAAAACTTTACTATCTGAATATCTTTGGATTCTTAACTAGGGTAGGGCACGGGGAGAAATCTCTGGCTGGACACTCGTGGTCGTAGCTGATGCCCAACAGGTTCTCCCCTTGTGACTAGAGCTTCTATTAAAAGTTGTTGACTCCTCAGGCCAGAAGTTACCAGCTTAGTCATAACGATTGTGTTCCATAATTTGATTAACCATTATTGAGAAAGAGGTATTTGTTATTTCTTATGGCATGAAAAAGGGACACGGGTGGCGCTGTGGGTTAAACCACAGAGCCTAGGACTTGCCAATCAGAAGGTCGGCGGTTCGAATCCCCGTGACGGGGTGAGCTCCCATTGCTCGGTCCCTGCTCTTGCCAACCTAGCAGTTCGAAAGCACGTCAAAGTGCAAGTAGATAAATAGGTACCGCTCTGGCGGGAAGGTACACAGTGTTTTTGTGCGCTGCTCTGGTTCGCCAGAAGCGGCTTAGTCATGCTGGCCACATGACCCGGAAGCTGTACGCTGGCTCCCTCGGCCAATAAAGCGAGATGAGCGCCGCAACCCCAGAGTCGGCCACGACTGGACCTAATGGTCAGGGGTCCCTTTACCTTTACCTATGGCATGAAAATACAACTGAGGAAGCCAATTTGATACTTACGTTGTAAATTTGTGGGTAGCTCTACAATCCCATACTCGAATCACACTGGCTGATGAGCTATAGGATATGCATCAGCAGGTACACCCTCACTATAATGACATATAGGGAGCAAGTTCAGGATTTTCTAAATGGTGGGTTTCTTCTCCCATCCTGGGCTGAGGGAGCATAGGATATGATAGCCATTCTGCTGGCGTAGAGGTATTATGACTCCCTACCTGCTCCCAGTGTAACTGGTGTTCTGGGTTGTTCGGTAACCCTTTTATTAGAATAAGTGGAACACAAGCATGCTTAATGGGGTGGGATTGTGCTGTTTGTGTTTTTTATATACGTTAGCAAGTTTATTTTAGAGCCATATAAAATTTTACACTTGTATAAATATAGTTTTATAGGGTTACATTTATTATTATGGGCTGGAGCAGAACAACTTTAGGCTTTTATATCCAGGTTTTTCATTACATTTCTGTCCAGTGTTATTCGAGCAATAAACAGCCTGTTTTGTAGGCTTTCAAATAAGGTGAGCAGAAGGGTACACACACAAACACGTGCCCCAATACATTACTTCTCAATTTCTACATTTATTTACTTGCCTCTTCAGCAGGCCCACAAGTACTGAATAAAGTTGCATATTTTCCTACAACATTTCCAGTATTTATCGCTGACATTTCCAGAAGAGTGTTGAAAGCCGATACCCGTATTATACCATTGGACAACCTTTTTGCAGCAACGAAGCTATAGCTCAGTGGCAGAGCACATATCTTAGATGAAGGTCTCGGATGAATTCCCTGGCATCTCCAGATAAGACTGGGATTGGGAAAGATCTTGTATAAAGCTGTAAAACTATACTGCCAGTCAGTATACTACAGTTAGATGGTTCAATATTCCCTGAGGGTATAGGGCAGTATATAAAATCAATCAATATTCTGAATCTCCATATGGCTGCCTCCTTGTTTATCCAGAGGCTCCTCATTCAAAGCTGTTAACTAATTTAGTAAATTATACACGGGTTCTTGTTTCTGTTTAATAACTAGCACCATGCATTGAGCTCATTATGTCATCCAAGGAGGACTTGGTTTTCAGCAGCCAGCTCTGGAATATGCTTTGTGTGGCACCATTTAAGCCTGCATTTCTGAAGACTGACTATGCTGGTGGAGATTGATAGGAGCTGGACACCAACAGCATCAGGAGGCCCACAGGCTATTCTGTTGGTGATATAAAATGTATGAGAGAATTCCTGGATGTCAAGATGCAGGGGCAAGCATTCTTCAGTGAAAAAGCCCTAGCAGAGATTTAAAGTCACAAAACGTGAAACAAAGAAAAGAATGGAAACGTAATAATAATAATAACATTTTATTTATATCCCGCCCTCCCTAGCCGAAGCCGGGCTCAGAGCGGCTAACAACAGTAAAATAATACAGCATTCTAAAAGCAGTACTAGGCCACTTTAGACCTTTAAAATATACCATTCCAAGTGAGCACCAAAATGTCCCCTTAAATAGTTTCTTTCCAAACTTTCCCTCTTATCCCAGCATAGGAAAATACGTTTGGTAAGTTAAAAAATGGTTTACTTACAAACTCTACAAATATCAGATTCATGTGCTTCAGAATAGTTGCACAGGCAGTAAAACACAGCTTAGTTGCAAAGTGATGAAAGTTCCTAAATTATTGGTATAGGATAGTGGTTCCTGGAATGCACCCAAGGGGTCCACCGCCCCATTCCTTGCCTCCCTCCAACTAAATTTTTGTCATTTTTGCAAATGATATCACAAATTTTATGGTCTGTTTTAGCGCTGTGTGGTTTTTCAATATATTGGCCAAAATTGGTTTTGAGATCACACCATGATAACGATTTAGACCTGGCAATACGAGCAATATATCACTTCTCTTGTGAGGGAGAACATGGCAGCCGATTTCAATACACCACTGATCTCAGCTGATAATGCTGCTGATCTGGGCTGCCTTCCCTCATGCTGAGGGAGACCAGGGTAGCTGATCGCTCTCACTTAAAGGCACTGTACCTTCCCTTGGCACTGAGGCAGAACAGCTTTTCCTCTCCTCCTCCCACCTGTCTGATCTCTGCGGCTGCTTCTTCCCTCATCCCCACACCTGATCTTCATTAATTATTATTATTATTACTATTATTATATCAAATTATTATTTCAGACATTGTGATATATTGCAATATCGTGATGTTTAGCTGCTGATACATAACGATGTTGAAAGACAGATATCACTCAGCTCTAGTCTGTTTTTTAGTATACCTAAAATCCTTTGCTTATTAGGGGCTACCCCACATTTTGTTCAAAAAATTGTTTTGCAGAGGTAACTACCATAGAGACCAAAATTTTCAAAAGTAGGAGGTCCATGGATTGGCTTTTGAAAAAGAGGGGGTCCTTAGTAATTATCTAATTGGGAACCACTGGTGTAGGAACTTGAGTGGCTTGTGAGATCCATGCTGTTGAGCTGGAACAACCAGCTCAAACTTCTTCGCACGTTGAGCTTCTCAGGTAAAAAGGAGAGAGGAAACAAATTAAGTATAAATTGATTACTTAGTTCCATGGAGAGGGGAAGTGGACATAGCTAAGCCTGGCAGGACAGCTTACTCTATAGTATTAACCCCTTCATGTGTTAATTAAACTTAAGCATGTTGTTTATATGCGGAGGGTTATTCCACATACTCCAGCTGAACAACTTTGAAAGTACCACTGAGCATGTGCAGAGAGACCTTTACTCACCACTGGTGATTATTTTGAGACCAAACACATCTGGGATTAAGAGATCACAGGGTTCCGCTGTCTGGAGCTTCAGTATGTCAAGCAAAAGCTCATGAGCAAAATTTAATTGTCCATTATACCAAAACCTAACCCACATTCTACTCTACTGGCATGCACTGACAATTTACCATGCAGAACGTTACTGTGAGGCTTTTTTTACTCACTCCTTGCCCCAGCTTGCAATGCTTATAAAAGATAACAAGGAATTTCATGATTCAGTTGCCTTGTTTCCATCAGTCCTGACATAAGACATCTTTGGGAAAAGGAAGATGCTTATTGGGAAAAGGGAAGCTTATTGGTTGTCTGGTTTTCTGAACACAGAGCCCAGGAGAATTGCTTCTTCAAGAGCTATTAGCTGAGCTTTGCTTAAAGCTGCCTTAAAGCTTTGCTTAGAGCTGTCTTGTGGTTACTGTTGACTACTACTCAAATGCTAATTGTGCTTTCTGGCTCATTTGCAACTGAATGGGTATTTTGCCTTTTTTTTGGTGATGGCTAGAATTACCTGCTACTTATGCTCTGAAACAGCACCTGAACTGGCAAACTGGTATCCCAGGCTTCATATAAAGGGAACCCTGATTAGGTACAGTAAACCAAACAATCTGGTGTCCCTCTCTCTTTGTTCAGGTGGTCTCCTGCCTTCTCTAGTGAAATTTGAAGCACAAAGCTGCTTTCGGGCAACGTGGCTCAGTAGCTCACTTGTCACTACCCTTGTCACAGTTAATGGGATTTGTGACATCATCCCATGTTTATTTCTTGACTCCTCTTTCCCGACCCCACCCTTCTGTAATAAACATATATTCAGGAAACCCAGGAGCCTGACACCCCAACACCACAGGTCGTCTGAGACAACCTACACATGCCTCACACAAATATGTACGAATGAGCCGTTAAAATACAAGTACAGTTAGCTGCATATTTGATATGTTATGTTCAGCTATAATACTAAAAAGTTTTTATTTACCTGTTGGTTGTTACAATTTAAATGGTATGTTAGTTATTTCGCAGTCCGAAGCATGCACCTTGACAAAAAAAGTATTGGAATAAATATGTGAGGAGTAGATCTTACATTTTCAGGATATACAGTACATATAAAACAGGCACAGTTCACATGCACACACCATCCATTTAAAGCATTTGGCTATTCTCTATGAATCATGGGAATGATACTTTACTCCTTTCAAAGTTAGAGTTCCCAGCACCCTTAACAAATTACGGTTCCAATTATTATTTGGGGGAAGCCATGTGTGTTAAATGTGCGTTAAATGTATGGTTTAGATGGGAGAGGCGCTTTGAGTAAGTGAGAGGAAGGATAAGGTGGTAAGCTGCTGGTTATGCACCTGTGTGTTCAGTATGGAGCTAGGAACCAATAACTAGCATTGCATTACAGACTGTGTTTGGTGGAACTTATTCCCCCCCCCCAAATATATTACTTTTCACATGGGTGGACCTACATAAACATGGACTATGACTGATAATAATCCATCTGGGAGTGGGAAGAAAGATGAGCTACTGGAACCCTGTTGTATAAGTGGTTATTCACGAAAATACCTTTGACACACTTCCAGTGTCGGATTGCCAAAACATGTTATGCTCCCACTTTTGTTTCGGCGGCATGGTTTCTATATTGGAAGTGAATTCTGTGTCTACACATGCAGGATTTCTCAGCAGTCACATGGTGTGGGATCTCAACTCTGCAGCAGCCTAGATGCCAGTTATCCTGTTCAATTTTATAGACACCATTGGTCACAGGGCGTTGGGGTTTTTTTTTTTTGCACCTACCCATGTATGTCTTTTAAGACAAGCAGATAAATGCCATTGGCTACAAATAACGTTCAGATAACATTCAAATAGCATTCAAATTCATACCGGTTAACATTAAAAAGGGTTGTTGCAGTGCATTAAGCTGCAGCACAATGCCACCTAGTGGCAATAGTCTTTAATAAAACGTTGCAAATGTGCAGTTCAATAATTTATTCATGGTTTTGTAAGCCATGAAGATAATATTATCTGAATAAAGCACTGTGTATCAAAAAACCGACTGAATCGTTTCAGTTAAGATTTTGAGTTTGGGGTCTCTGATAATGTATCCTAGAAGTAAAGTGTCAGTTCAGATGCAGATTTAACCACAAGTACAGCTCTTTTTGCAGTTACACAGTTTTAGTATACAGACAACACACACTGAGACCATCTTGGTGCTGGGGCTCAACCCTGCCTTAAAAGCTACAGTGGTGCCCCGCAAGACGAACGCCTCGCAAGACGGAAAACCCGCTAGACGAAAGGGTTTTCCGTTTTGGAGGCGCTTCGCAAAACAAATTTCCCTATGGGCTTCCTTCGCAAGACGAAAGCCCATAGGGAAATCTCCGGGACAGCGGGGAAGCGCAGCGCGTCTTCCCCACTGTCCTCGGACCTCCTCTGAAGGCTGGTGGCGGGGCGGAGAGACCTCCTCCCGCCGCCAGCCTTCATTTCTCCGCTATCCCGGACGGCTTTTGAAGGCAGGCGGGGGGGGGAGCAAAGACTTTCGCCCCCCGCCGGCCTTCAGAAGAGGTCCAGGACCTCTTCTGAAGGCCGGCGGGGGGCAAAAGTCTTTGCTCCCCCCTGCCTGCCTTCCCGGGGGCTTTTAAATCGCCCCGGGACAGCGGAGAAGTCCTCCGCTGTCCCGGGGTTTTTTAAAATGCTGGGGGTGGAAAGAAAAGCCCTTGTCCCCCCCCCCCCAGCCTTCAGAAGAGGTCGGGGGACAGACTGTCCCCGGACCTGGTCTGAAGTCGGTTTCCATAGGAACGCATTGATTGATTTTCAATGCATTCCTATGGTAAACCGTGCTTCGCAAGACGAAAAACTCGCAAGAAGAAAAAACTTGCGGAACAAATTAATTTCGTCTTGCGAGGCACCACTGTATATGCTCTGTTTGGGGTCAGGACTAATACTAATAGTGGGAGGCATCTAAATAAGCTGGTGTGCCTGCATAAGGAGCTTAAAGATGAGCTGAGATGTAAGAAGGATGTGTATAAGAAATGGAAGGGGAAATCACAAAGGAGTAGCCAACAGTTGCAGGGTGAATGTGAGGTGGACTAAAGCTCAGAATTAGCTCAGGTTTGCACGAGAGGTTAAAAATAATAAATGTTTCTTTGGCTATGTTCGAAACAAGAGGAAGAAAAAGCAAATCATCTGCCTGGAGAAGATAGAGAAATGCTATTAGATAGAATTGCTCAACACCCACTTTGCCTCTTTCTTCACCCAAAAGGAAAGCAATGCCCAATCTGGTGATAACATAATAAATTATGTCAATTGGGAGCCGCAGCCCAAGATAGGAAAAGAGGTAGTAAGGGAACAGCTAACTACTTTAAATGAATTCAGATCTCCCAAGGTCTGATGAGCTGCACCCAAGGGTATACTAAAGGAGCTTGCGGATGTAATCTCAGAGCCTATGTCTATAATCTTTGAGAATTCTTGGAGAACAGGTGAGGTCCCTGCAGACTGGAGGCAGACACAATGTCCCCATCTTTTAAAGGGTGGGGGGAGAAGACTCGGGTGACTACCGACCAGTAAGCTTGGCATCGATACTAGGAAAGGTCCTAGAACAGATAATTCAACAGTCAGTCTGTGAGCACTTAGAAAAGGATGCTATGATTACTAAAACCCAGCATAACTGGCCTTCACCAGATGTGCTTGGTCTCACTTGTCCTCTTCTGTCCCAGGTAGGGTTGTCACTTGCCACCATTATTCTGGCAAGATACGGAATCCGGTTCTGAAGTGACTTCAAAGCAATCCATAAGGGATCTATTGCAGCCTAACAGGGTGGCCCCTCTGGACTTTGCTACGCACGTGCACATACAAATGAAATTTGTAAATCTGTCTACCCAGAGCTTAAATACCCTTTCAAACACATGCAGTTGGAGAGGGTCCCTAACGGGCGGCAACCCTAGCCCAGGCGTGAAGAAGTCAGGCTACCATTGTGTGATTGTTACAGGGGAAGAGAGTGAGCTTTTCACAGAAACTCGGGCCTGCCAATGCGTCCCATCGAATTGGGAGGGACCTCAAGAGTCATCTAGTCCATTCCCTTGCCATGCAGGAATCCTGCCCACAGTTGTCCAGGGGTGGACTTGAACCACCACCAACCTCCTGGTTGTGACCCACTGCGCCACTGGTGGAGTAATTTAGAGCAAAAGAGAGGCAGGAAGTAGGGCTAAATTCTGGCTCGAATTGCCTGGACACGGCCGCCATATTGACTCTTGCGCGCCCGCAACCAGATGCGTCACCGCCCCTCCTCCTCCCTCCCCGTGGCCCCACCCTCTTATGCTCCTGCCCTCTAGGAGACGTCGCAGGCGTGCGTGCGTGCGCCACCAAGCCGAGAAGACGCCACCGGCCTAGAAAGGCCCCTCCGCCTCACCCGGAAGCGGAGAGGAAGAGAGCGAGCGCTGCTCGGCGGAACCTGAGGTGGGGAGTATAAAATAGACTCGCCCCCCCCTTTCCTCCGCTCCTCTTCTTCTAGCCCGGCGGTGCTGTCGCAGGAGGCGGTCGAGTCCACCTGAGACTGCGGGGGTGGAGAGAGAGGAAAGAGAGAGAAAAACGGCGTCTTTTTCCTTCCCCGCCTTTTAATAAGCCGCGCGCGAGTCTTGAGCAGCATCCATGGCAGCGGACAAAGGCGGAGGTGAGGACAAAGCAGGCGCGGGCTGTCTCTGCTGTTTGCGGGGCTGCTTGTTCTTCCTCAGGCGGAGGGAGGGGGGGGGAGAATAACCTCCTTTGGGTGGTCGTGGCGGAGTGATCCCCCTTTCCCCCGCGGTTCCTCTGCCTCCATTGGATGGGGCGGGAGGGGTGCCGTGTGTACCTCCGCGCGGTTTTGGAATGTAGGGCCGGCGGGCGGCGTGAGGCGTCGCCTCAGGAGCGGGGATGCGAGGGGCAGCTTCGCCTAGTGGTCGCTGCCGCCTAGGGAAGAGGCTCAAGTAGCGGCTTATATCCCGCCTCCTCTTCCCCAGCCCACAAGGGGAGTAAACAACAACTAAAACATGAGGGTGCCCAACCTGACAGTTGAGGTTCCTGCATTTGGGGGGGGGGGTTGGACTAGGCGACCCTCTGTGGTTCTGTACTGTTACAGAGGACCCCTGCTGTGTGGCCTAATGGTTAGAGTGTTGGACTACAGCCTTGGGGGGACAAATGCCTCACTCGGCCACAAAGCGCTCTGGGGGTGAGGTTGAAGGCCTAGCCTACCTCACAGGGTTGCTGAGAGGATGAAATGGAGAGGAGGGGCACCACACGCACCAACTTGAGGTCCTTGGAGGGTAAAGGTGGTATGTAAACGAAGTAAATAAAACAGAAATAAATGAAAGAGCTCCTTGTGAGAGGGTGGCGGCAGGTGTGCTTGATTGCATTTATATTCTGCTTTTCTTCCACTGTGGATGTTCAGGGGGCAACTAATAGGGCTTCTTGGGCCCATACTCTGAAAGAACCTGCTGCCGGGGGCTACGCTGCTGCCCCTTCCCAGAGAAGTTGTGTCAGCTGGTGGTCAACAGCTATTTCTGATACATATATATGTGTGTGTTCGTGTATAAAACATGTTTGTTTTGAACTGCATTGCGTATCGAATTGTGGTTTGTTTTTCGCTTCATACGCTCTTGTGTTTTGTATATATTGTATCGGTAGAAATCTTGTTTGCTCGTTTTTAATTATTATCATGAGCTGCTTTGAGCTCAGTGTTGCTGGAAAAGCGGCATGCGGGCATTCGATCAAATTAAAACATGACCTGGGAGTCTCCCTGTACATCCTCTGTGCAGTGCAGCACTCTTATACCTTGGGGGGGGGGCATAATGTAAGGGACACAATGAATTAGCCTGGGCTCCAATGCTGTTTCTCTGGTGGCTAGCCAGCTCTCTATCTGAACTGATAAACGTGCCTGAGAATCCTCTGACAGTGCAGTGAGGTCAGTCCCTAGACCCAGTTTGAGGACTCTGTTGAGGTAGTGACAAGATGCAATAGGTATTCTGGTGGGTGCCATTGTGCCATGATAAAATAATCATTATTTTTTTTAAAAACCACTAATAACAAAACAGCCTCTGGGAAACCAGTGCAATGGCAACAAAACCAGTGAAATGGCATCAGCAGCATGGGCAATCAAATACTGTATTTTATTTATACCCCAGGTTTCATCACCAAAAGATCCACGAAAAGGTACAATATAGTAAGAAGAGGCTTGGGATTCCAGCTTTTTTCCTGCAGGTGAAAGAGATAGAGCTGCAGATGGAATGGGACTGACCAGTATACAGAAGCAGCTGTTTCAATGATCTATAATAGAGGGAAGAGTTCTCAGTGGTTACACAGTTCAAACAACTTTCAAAACAATAACATATTGATCTGGCACCTACAGGCTGGCATAAGAGGAATCTAGCCAAGTTTTCTTAAAGCCTGGATAGAACCACTGTTACACCACTATTTGATATGCAATGTGGTGACACAGAGCAGAGCCTCAGCTGAAGTATGCAAGTAGGTCTCAACTAGGATCTGGGAGGAGGCAGTCCCTTAGCTATTCACGTCCTAAAACTTTTAGGACTGTAAAGGCCAAAACCACGGTTTTGTATTTGAAGCTAATGAAGCTGGGATAATATCAGTATACAAAAATAAAATAAAATTGCTAATGTGCTTTCCATCATTTGGAAGTGTCAGAACACTTCAAAGGCAGCCCCATATAGAACACATTGAAGTAATCTAATCTGGTTGTAACCAAGGAATGTGTAATAGAAGCCAGAATGGCCTTTTTCATCAGAGTTCAGCCTAAACTGGGCAAAAACACTTTAAAGGTGAACTTGGATTTTCTTGTGAACTTTGTAAGGGAAGAAATGTCAGACTTCACTTTTTATTAGAACTCTGAGGTCCACGAACTCGAGTCATTTGCAAAATACAGGCTCAGGTGTATGCATGTGTGCTAGGAATTAAGGAACAGGGTTCCTCTTTGCACGTGTCAAAACAAAATAATAAAATTCCTTCCAGTAGCACCTTGGAGACCAACTAAGTTTGTTATTGGTATGAGCTTTCATTTGCATGCACACTTCTTCAGAATACAGTAACAAACCTAGTTGGTCTCTAAGGTAGTACTGGAAGGAATTTGTTTATTTTGTTTCAACTACGGCAGACTAACACGGCTACCTACCTGTAACTAGATCTTTGCACATGCTTACTCCAGAAATTTTTGATCCCTACCAGAACCAAGCTGACAAGTGCTTTCAACTTAGAAATACACTCCTGATTTTCCCTAAGTTTTCATTTTCAGCTGTCTATTGCAAATAGCTTTTTAGTTGTTTTGGCTGTTGATGTGTTGGGAGTTCGATATACTTAGCTTAACTGCAAATCACCCAGACATCTCCCAGCAAATCTGATCTACATTCCACCAAACCCTTCTGTAAGGTGCCAAGCAAGCCACACTGTTTACCCACATACAGTGGTACCTCGCAAGACGGAAAACTCGCAAGACGAAAGGGTTTTTGGTTTTTTGAGTTGCTTCGCAAGACGAATTTCCCTATGGGCTTGCTTCGCAAGATGGAAACGTCTTGCAAGTTTGTTTCCTTTTTCTTAAAACCGTTAATACAGTTGCGACTTGACTTCAAGGAGCAACTCATAGCACGCGGTGTGGTAGCCTTTTTTGAGGTTTTTGAAGACTTTGGTGATTTTTGAAGCTTTTCCAAAACCGTGCTTCGCAAGACGAAAAAATCGTAAGACGAAAAAACTCGCGGAACGAATTAATTTCGTCTTGCGAGGCACCACTGTACTTAAGTTTCTCATTGACTTATTTATTTCAACCTGCTGTTCTTAATGACATATACCTGAACTTTTAAAAGCAAGGATTCAAAATTACAGAATTAAGTATTCTCTCAGAAAAAATATGCTTGGAGCACAAGCAAGAAGAACACAATATGATTTAAGCTTTTCTTAGAATGGTTTGAAACTATGCTTGGAGTTAGCTGTTGTTTGAAACACTTGTGTTGCAGATCAGGGAGCAGAAAAACATGAAGCAGCAGGCACATCATCTGGGATTACTGATCAAGAGAAGGAGCTCTCAAACAGTGCTCTGCAAGCATTCATGGTAAGGCAATTCTTGAGAGAGCAAATATGTATGTCATACACATGTAGTGTGATAGCTAGTTTTTGGAAGCACATCGTTTCCCATAGCAAGCAAAATGTGGAGCTGGTATGATTTTGAAGAGCAGCTTATTTCTCATCATAGGCACTGCTTCTTGTAAAGAATAAATTCAGACATCCCAAAAGGTATAGAATACCTCCAGCCTTTAGTCTGATGTTTTTGCAGCGGAAATGCAATTGGATAGATCTTTCCACACTAGCAATCCTTTTAATATTTTGGTTTCTCCATAGTTCAGGCAAATATTTCCCACCGAGGTAGGAAAAGGAGAAGGGCGGAAGGATTGCACACATGACTTGTTCCAGATTGGAAAATGTGACATCTGCCTGTGCTCCTCTGTAAATTAGAAGCAGTGTTTTGGAATTCTAAGTTGGGTTTTGATTTTTAAAATGTGTCTATTTAAACATTGCCTTTTCAACTTGTGATCCTTGCAGGCTGGCAACTATGAAGCTTGTCTGCAACACCTTAGCTGCTTGCAAGAAATTAACAAGGATGATTACAAAATAGTTTTGAACATGGCAGTAGCAGAGTTCTGTAAAAGTAATCAGACGACAACTGACAACTTGAAGCAAACACTTAATCAGCTGAAAAATCAGGTATTGCTTGCTTGTTTGTTGTTTCCGCCCTCTTTTTTGTAAAGAGTTTCTTGTGATTTGCACAAATATTTCTCGTCCCTCCATAATCCTGCAAAAAGTCATTTCCAAAAGGCAATGGAATCTTGAAGACCAAAGTAGATACTGCAGGAAGTTCTTTCTGTTCTTATTTCTGTTTGTAAGTAAACTGTCTTCTTGTATTTGGTACACTCTGGGGTGCTTTGGGAAATGGCAATAGCAAATTACATTTTCACATAGACCAGTCTGTAGCACATACTGATTTAACATTGCTTTTTTTTTTATTTGGTCATAAATGAAGGAGTGGGTAAAAAAAAGGGGGCTGTGTTTTTATCCCCCAGGTTCATTCAGCTGTTGAGGAAATGGATGGATTAGATGATGTTGAAAACAGCATGCTTTACTACAATCAAGCTGTTATTTTGTACCATCTTCGGCAGTATACTGAAGCAATAATAGTTGGAGAGAAGCTTTATCAATTCATAGAACCTTTTGGTAAGTTGACAAAGGGAAA